AATGTGCTCTTCAAGAATTTCAGTTTTTTAAATTGATAATAAAATAAAACAAACAATTCAATGAATTTATTATTGATTCTTTTAAAATCTCGGAAATCGTTTCGTCTAAATTAATAATTTGTATTTAATTATTTTATAGTTTGGTTATTCTTTTCATAAATGTAATTGATGATATATATAATAATTCATTGAACACCGATCTAAATAATCTTGTAATTGTTTTTAATGCTACATATGGATGCATAGCTGATTTTTTCTTATTGTGGCTGAGGGCACGCCACCTTTGTCCACTATTTACGCTTGTGGAGGAAGAGCAGTCTGCAACGGGAAACTCCGCGCACTTGCACAGTCAAACCCAGCCGAGTACAGACCACTAATATTATATTCTCCACATATGGTACTACTTCCCAGCGCATCCACTGATCCTGCAAAAAAAAAATAAGTGTACACGCGAAAAAGGACAATTGTATTACCAGCACGTATCCAGCATTTTACGTAAGTACTGCCGCTCATTCCCTATTCAAGGATTTATTCGATTTATACATAGTTACCGTTCGCAATAATTATTAGTACTTTTAAAATTATTAATATACGGCAATTTGCATGGAAACGTCCGCTCCCGAAAAGGCCACACTTGAATGCAGTCGTCCTTGCTGCAGCGCTGTGCATCCACCTTTTGTTTATTTATAAATATTTAAATAACCATTTTTCACAAGATCATTTCTCAACACCTTCGAACGCAAATGTTGGAACGGCAATTGCGAAAACTGCAATTGCATCAAGTCAGAAAGTTTTTGAAACTACGTGCAGCGCACTTTCTACACAACGATTGGAAATTGTCGACGTGAGCAAACCGAATTCCTTTATGGTTCTCACTCTTAAAGAAAGATCATTAAAGACCCACATTTCAATTTAATAAAATATTAAAAATAACATATTTTGTTCTATAAAGCGGTATAGACCATCAATAATATATTTTCTAATGATTTGATTTTACTTGTTATTAACAAAAAAATATTTAATTTATTGCAGAAAGGATTTCGTTGCCGTGGTCAAAAAGTTAACAAAGTGTACAAAATTTGAATATAACTTTTTTTAATTGATAATTATGAAGTAATTTTACTCACAAAATAACTGATAAAGCTGATGAAATGTATTATTAGAAATTGTATTTTGTTTGTAAGTTATTGAAGGACAAGTTTTATTTAATAGTCGATTGTGCGAAATATTAAAACAATATCATAAAGTAGCAAAACAAAACAAAAACATTGCTCGAGATTTTCTATTTACCAAGCATTGTACATCGCGACGTAATAACATCTTATCAAAACGGTAATTAATTTTACTCAAGAGTTAAGGTTTTCTGGGAATCAGGATGTCGTGAGTTTCCCACAAGTCAGCATGTAAACAATATATACACACACATATTTATACGTATTTATACGTTTGTGTAAGTAACCTCGAAATATAAATATATTATCAGCTTACAAATCCTTGTTTGATGTTACACTCTAATCTCGATCGAGAATGCAAAAGAAAACAAAATCGCATATGCAAATGTCGCAAACTCGCATTTAGAGTTGTTGATGTACGTTAAAATGTTCCATTTCCATTGTTTATCCAGTGACAGTGTTTTTGGTCACGGACCGTTCGCCTAAAAATACCCGAGACCACAAAGAGTTTTGCACACTCCTTTTTTTCCTGCTCCTTCGAGCAGTATGTTTACTCGTATGTTTGCTTTCGCCCAGCTTATGTAGGATAAAGGTTGCACATTTGCATTGCAACGACATTGAAAAACATTCTTTATGTGAATGGCTCATGACGCATAACAAGAAGTCAATGATAATCTAATCGAGTAAGAAGGTGTTTTTCATTCATGCCATTTTCTCATAATTATATCGAGAGGAAACTGGAAAGGCGGGCAGAGGGAAGAACAAAATTACCGTGTACCGACCGGCGTAACATTCACGGTTAACCGGAATTGCAACGTTTTTTTTTTTTTCAGGATCGTATGTAAAGTTTGTCGTTGGTGATTTTTTTAATGCTTTATAAATATTGAATACTGTATAATTGAATAAATACATTCAAAGTTAAATTCGTTAGGTGTCCTTGAACCTTCAGTTCGTATTATTTCGCTTTACATGAGATAACTACATAATATATTTGTATGATGAATGAAAAAGAATAAATGAAATGATTTGCTTTCAGTTACTTCTTTTTTTTACAGAATGCAAAAGTGGTGTGCGACATAATTTTCAGCATGTAATTACCATCGCACTGTATTCTTGTATTGTTTCGCCGTTGATCGGGTGGGCGAGGTAAATAATATAATAAGAAAACCGTGGGACCAAAAACGATGTAGGTGGCAACAAGTCTTCGTTCTACTCTTACCTCGTCTTATGATAACAATAACAACAACGACGCCCCGAATAACTCATCGCAATTACCAGGCGGCCTCATGAAAGGCGCTCTTCGTATTGAGCAAATCGAAATCCTCTGACCATCATTATTGCTACATGCTGCTTCTGCGTCGTCTTCTCTTTTGCTCTGTTACAAATGAGGTCATCTGCGAAATTTATCATCTCCCAAATAACAGAACAGCCAAGTCGCACGTGACCCTCGACGAAACGATCACTGTTTCAATAGGTATCCTTCAAAATTACTGTTCACGAAGAAGATTGTTTAAAGTGAAAACAATGTGAAACAATGAAACAGGTTTTGGTGGTACCCAAACCATTAGACAATAGATTCGTAAACGTACGGAATTTTACCAGTGCTCATTAAAAAAAAACAATTACACAGTATTGTTTTTGATTATATGTTCATTTAATGCAAAACTATGATTCGAATTTATTTCATTTCTATTAGCATAAAAATGCAAATATTATTTTTACATAACACATTTTCGTATCGACTCAAAATTTAAGGAAGTTTTGCTCACAGCAAATAATCAAAATATATTTAATTTTACGACGATTTTAGATTAAATGCAGTACTCTTCGTTAAATTCAATTAGGTAGTTAATTCATAAAAAAGCAGCGATGCGGAAGTCTGCGAAATTGATATCTGCAGACGTCGTCTCATCCACCGCGCCAAACGTTCCATATTATTTCGTAAGCTGTGAAAGATAGACGCCACCCGGCGTTCTAAGAATATTGAAATTAACGTATTTCACTGAAAAAAAACAAGATATATTATGATAACAAGTATATAGATAAGACCCAAACAACGTATTTTCAATAATAAGTAAGTTCCATGACATCGGGTTGAATGCAGTTTCATCCAATATTTAATCAAAACCTTTTACGTGATATGTAAGCATAAAGAGTTAACTTTCATTTTTGTGCCGTCTGCAATGTTTATATTTATTAGTTTGATTGTTTCTGTTTTTACAATGTACAAATATTAGTATAAGGATTTATGTTGGCAACGGGAGCAAACTCTTGTTTGTTTCTTTTCTGTTAATTTTATTTAATTTAAGAAATATTATTTTTTTGCTAAGAGGCATACATAAACAGATAAATAAATGCAATAATTTATCATTTTGTTTGCAATATGTTACACATTTAATTTTAGTAGATAACCAATCTACATTTATGAATGTTTATAGTAAATAAAAATTAATATTTTGTGCTTTAAATTATTATAGATATCATTGTAAATGATAATTTTATTGGATTGATCGTATCGATGTAGAAGTTTGTTGTTTAAGCTAGTGAACCTTGAGCGAAAGTCACGTTGTTCAATAACCTCCATTGATTAAAGTTTAATATATTTCTTTTTATAAAGAAAACATGATTAAAATATAAATAAAATAATCATTTTCCGAAGAGAATTGCAAGGAACGACCACCCTGTATAATGGCTAGACTAGTAGAAATTCCCAGGAAAATAGAATCAATTGCAAATTCCCCTCGTCAAGACAATGCGGCGGCATTGCCAGTTTGGTGTAAAGGCCGACCGATGCGCAAGATTAGAATCGAAATTAGATTGGTTCGGATCGTTTTTCATTGAGTTCAATTTTAATGCGGGAGAAAATTAAAAGGCGGCGGGACCGGAAAGAGCTTAGAAAGAGATAGCGGAGGCGAAAAAAGTAATCGAAAGACAGAGAACCAGTATTCTCTGTGAGGCATTTTAACGCCTAGGAGAGCGACAATGTGGCAACGTTGTCCAACGCAACTTTAGATTGCTTTGAGGAGGGGAACTCGTCGGCCACGGCGAGGTCGCGAGCTGAGGAATTAGTGCTTCTGCACTGGGAAAAGGCGTCGTTGGTGCCAACTGTGAAAAATATTTTATATTTTCAAAAACAAACAATATATAAATTGAATACAATTGTTATTCACTTATCAGTTCGGTTCATTCATTACATCCAAAGTTCATATCTTTGCTTATTCCGCAGGAAGCGGGAACGCGTAAATATCAACAATAATCAATGTTTTAAATCGCGTTTTGTGCGGAAGTATATTATCTAACATAATTGCAAAAAGCAGTAAAGAAAATGTCATAAATCTTAGAAACAATGCGTTAGTAAATATAAAACGTGTTGACAACAATACATTTAAACAACATTTGAAATGTAAAGGATCGTAAATTTCAAATAATATGTTTCTAAATTTAAAAAAAAAAGAAATTTGGTTATATTGTGATTAATTGTTCTTTGATGTCGCACTTCAAGAAATGTAAAATTTATAACCTAAAAATTATGTAATGTTATTGTTTTTAAATTTTATTATTTTTTTAAATGTTTAACACTCTGTATATGTAGCCATGAGAATGTTATGTCTCGGGAAAGTAAAGCGTTGGAAACACCCAACGATTGGTGAATACACAAAGCTGGGTGCACACTAGCTGTACTGAACATAGCTCGAATAAGCAGTATCCTTGATGTGATTCGTTCTTACCTACTACGACAGTTGGTAGTTTCGTTGGAATAGCGCGCATGTGTATCCGGCTTGACGACGATCGTGTATCGTCAGCATTCCAGTTTCTCTCAGATTCTTGTGTAGCGAGGTTGTGGGTTGGGTTGAGTCTTGTTGCGGGGTTATGTGAGCAGTACTCGTGTAAATAAATATACACATGTATATTTATATTTATTTAAATTATAAAAAGTAAACAACATACGTTGGCATTGATAAACGAAATATAAAAAGTATACTTTCGAGTGAATTTGGAAAGCAGACAAAATTGGGCCACGATATTGTGCGCGCGTTGACAACAGCTGCAAATAAGGTATAGATCGCCTGTATTTTTATTTTATTTTTTTTACATTTCGTTATTTTATTTTCGCTCTAATTTGTTATTGCGGTTATGGGTATTTTTGTAGTTGCGTACAGTTAAAATATCACCAAATGAATTCTTGTAATCTAATCGCGGTAGGAAAAGCATATGGAATCACAATCAGCCCACACGGGTCGTTTGGTTATAAACCAACGTTTTACTTAGCTGTGGACGATTCTGACCATTAAAATAAATAAATGAAGTCTAGTAGTTTCGCGAGCGGAAATATGGCGGAGAATGGAATGTCTCGGGTCTCCATTGGTCCATCCGTGGAGCGCTGGAAATCCTCCGTTAATCGTGCTCCATGAATGGAATCTAAAAACGAAAGAAAATTCCTATATCCATCTACCATAGACTTATTCCATAGCAACAGAGACAATACACGCGCAAAAAAAAAACCATCGGTCAAAACCACTGATGATTGCGTCTATTCATAATATTGATTTTTTTTTGTTACTGGCGCTGCCGTAGCAAAACAAAAAACATGCGTTTTGTTGTTGAATAGTTCCCAGGATGGTTGCCCAACAAACATCCAGTCTGACCCTCCTTCCCTCTCTCTCTCTCTCTCCCTCGCACTCTACGCAGAGTGGAATTCATTGCGTTCTTTTTCTCTTTTCTTTTTTTTTTTGTTGTATCCGGCGTTCGGTCATTGATGCGATCTCTGTGGAATGTGGTAGGGCAGCTCTCTCGTCCTCAAGGGGCTTACGGGGAATGGGAGAGAATGGAATGTTCCAAGTCGTGAATGATTTTATAATATAGCTACGTCTCGCTTCTACATGGAGCAGCAGTGACTCAAAAGCGAAACACAAGTTTATAAAATATTATTTTGTCTCGACAAATCCATTATTATTTAATAGGTCTATTCCAAATTATTCGTAATGAAATAAGTAATTGAATAATAAATACACAAAAAAAAAACAATTATTTGAGTGAACTCTGGTGATTATTGTAGGCCACCAAATGAACTAAGAAGTAATGAATGTTTTAATTGAAATCAAAACTAGCTTTTGTTATGTTTCACAATAAACAATTTCGCATGCATTTTTTTAACGTCAACAAAATGATGATGCTTATACTTTTTTTATAATTTGTTACAGATTGTGAAGCACGTAAGGTTTTGCTGTGAATATTGGAAGAAGAGTGTTGACGATGACAAATGTTTTGCGATTACCCCTTGATTATGCGATTCCTGCAAATATAGTCAATCACAATAGAGTCGTGGCGGACAATGGAAGGCCAATGCGGAGCGAAGAGAATCGCCTGCAGTCCTTTAAAAACTGGCCACTCAGCTTCATACAACCAAGGGAACTAGCGGCCAACGGTTTCTATTACACCCAGATCCAAGACGTGGTGAGGTGCGCTTTCTGCAACCTCGAGATCAGTAAATGGGAACGTGGAGATATACCAAAAAATGACCACATGAAATACTCACCGATCTGTCCACTGCTGAATAACCAGGAATGTGGAAACATTAAGATGGACCACAGCGAAGGCTTGGAATGCGACAGTTCAGCTGCAAATATACAACCCGGAGAAGACACCTGCGGTAAATTTGGTATCAAATTGTGTCCCAACGCATACCCAGAGAGCAGACGTTCGCTTAGTAAATTAGGAATTAATATAAATCAAAGCCCAAAATTCCCAAATTACGTCACCTATGAACAGAGGTTTAAAACTTATCTCCATTGGCCAATATCCATGAAGCAGAAGCCTGCTGAAATGGCGGAAGCCGGCTTTTTCTACACCGGTGAAAGCGACAGAACGATTTGCTTCTTTTGCGGTAACGGTTTGAATTTTTGGGAGCCGAACGATGATCCGTGGGATCAGCACGCCAAATGGAACCCGAATTGTTCATATTTAAGGCTGCATAAGTCGCCAGAATTCATTGCAAATGCCTCCAATGATTCGAATGCTAGTGGCGAGCAAGCTGAGGCTGCTGATGTAAGTGTTCCTACCACATCTAGTGATTCGACTACGGCAGAGGCTCTCAAAGATAAATGCAATGTAGCCGAACTGAAACCAACCAAAGAAATTGCAGACGAGACAAAACTGTGTAAAGTCTGCTTGGCGCAGGAGATTGGTGTGGCGTTTTTGCCATGTGGACATTTGGTATGTTGCGTAAGTTGTGCGCCGGGCCAGAGCAAATGCCCGATCTGCAGACAAACATTGAAAGCAACATTGAAAACTTTCTTCACATAACTTGCAATTATCGACATCTCACCATCGATGTTATACAACTTTTAAATTTGTTTCTATACAATAGTTCTAGTCAATGATAACATTTAAAAACAGCATTTCACATTTTGTACATTAATTAATATCGTGAATTAGTCTTCCATTTTCCCCAGTTTTGTGACACAAATATTAAAAAAAATATTAAAAATCTGCCTCAAAATAATCTGATACAAAAGTTTTGACGAGGGAAATAAAATATTTTTTTACATGAAAAAATTATAGAAATTGAATTTAATAAGTTTTCAAGTACAAACAATTAATTTTAAATATTGTACAATTTTGTTTATTACAAACTTATGATATAAACATAAATAAAATTACATTTATTTTTTTATTAATCTGAATATATTTGTTTTATTAACTTGTATTTATTTATTTATTTATATTTGATTTAATTTTTATTGTAGATATGTATGTTAAGATTTTTACTTTTAGGTTTTTTTTTAATGTTTGTGTATGGGGCTCAGGAACATATAATTCAAAAAAGAGCAAATGTCTTTTGCATGAATGCATTTATCTGTAGCCCTGCTTGTATATATAAATATATTATAGTTTTTATATTTGTTATAATCATGATTACTAAAACATATGTAATCACATATCTAATATCTATTTGTATATACGTATGTATATATCACTTTATAAACTATTAGAAATAAACGTAATTTAGATTGGCAAATGCAACACAGAGTACATTTACAAATTGTATTTGATTCATTGAACATTACAATTATATAAATCATAAATATTACATTCATATAATAAAAATATATAATCCTACATTTATAGATTTAGACTACAGCAAAGTCTGAATAAATCAATTTAAATCAAAACATTTATTAGTCTGTAACATTTTACACGTAATTCCTTTTCATCCTTGCAATTATAATAACATTAAACTAATTTTCAATTATTTACGGTATAAAATTATATTTCAAAACGTTAAATAATGCATATATCATCTATAGTCAGCGTATATTGATTTAGACATATCGATAAAAGACAATATTTGTAATCTGCACTATATTCGGTATTTCAAAATATAAACGGAGTAATGGATAATCCGTTATTGAAAAAGTGATATATCCCGTTACAAATAATTGTTTTCGTGATTAAAGTAAAATTGAAATTCAGTAAAGGCTATTTTTATACAATTTTCCTTAATTGAGGTATGTCACCAGCATTACTTAAATGCTAAAGATCACATAAAACATGGTGCAAATATATTTGTGGATATGGATAAGTAGTAATTGGAAACCGTTGTACTTCAGTGGTATCACAGGTTAGTACAATATATTTTGCACTAAAATGTGTCCGATATCTTTGTTTTTTAAAGATCATTCAGAGTGAGCTATTGAAATGAAAACTGAGTCAATTTAAAGTATAATACGTTATTTTTTACAAACCTTCTCATCACTTTAATTGATATTATTAGTAAACGTAAAAATTTCTTGCTAGAATCTCTTTATTTAGTATATGAATAAACTATTATTAGATGTACATGTATTTTTTTAATATTTTGTGATCAAATTGTTATGAAAAAAATTGTGATATTATTTATTTTACCCTCTAATTTTTATTGTCATGTAAGCAATAATTGTAGACTTTCAACTAAAATTTGTGGTTGTGTAATGGTATAGCAGTTTTTTTAATGAATATAATATTTAGTTGAAATTTTCTCTACTGTATTTCCTAAAATTACTGTTAAATATTTAAATAAACATGTGTATGAAGAAAAAATATATAATTTTTAAAAACTTATTTTATATTCTTGTTTTAATAAATAAATTTACAATAAAAATCTGTTAAATTTTGTTGTTCGATATTTGAAGTTGTAAGTAATCAGTCTATCAGCCGGATGTCTAGTTCCAAAATATAAGAATCTTTTGATTCTGAAATATGTTAAAAATATATATTTCCTTTATTATTAGACTAGACCACAATAATACTTTCAGAACTCCATTTGCTTGCATTGAATGTTATAATCATTAAGTTTTATTGAAATAACAGATTTAGTAATGAATCTAATCTAACTTTAAATACATATGTTTGGAAATGTATTCTTTTAACTTTCACAATTTAAAACTAATTACAGTGTAATAAAATGAAAAATAAAATAAACAAAGTTTATTTTGCAACTGAACTTTGCATTCAGGCATATTATAAATCCTAAATTAATGTAAAATGTACATAATAATTCGAAGGGGTAGCGTTATATTGTTATGTAAATAAAAGAAAGAAACATACTTAGAAACGAAACTAATTAGGATTTATTCTTTGATTTCTCTTTTTCCATTTCTTTCTTTATCTGTTTGTCCCTCATAACCTGGGCGTCTCGCTCTTTACGTTGTGTCAACGTTAATCCATCTGTTGACTGCTTGCTCTTATTCAATTCTTGTTGTTTCTTCATGTTTTTGGCCCTGGCCAAGTCTCTTTGATTGCCGCGAGTCATTTTACCTGTAAAAAAGAAAAATGTCTTTGAAGTTGTTCGAGATGCCTAAAGATGGCAACGAGGAAAGTTAAACACATGCTAAATATGGCGCACAGGGTGTTGTAAACAAAGAATGTTCATTGTTTTTTACAGTTCGCACAGAGCTGAAGCAGTAAAGTGACTATGGAGGAAGAACAATATCTACTACAACACCCTAGGGACAGGAATCATAGCCACGAACAGGAGCAAAGTGTATCCGAGGAGGAATGGTCTGAGGTGTCGTCGGATTGCAGTTCTTACTATTCAGACACTGACAGGTAAATTTGGTTGTGGCAACAAACCCTTATTTATACTGATATTTGTACTCACTTGTATGACTCCTTTAGTAACTGATAATTTCGACGAATCCCTTTGAAAACCGATAATTCTTGCCGCTGCAACAATCACAATAAGTATGTTTCGTCCGAGCGATGTCTCCTTTAGAGTACAATGGCCTTCGCAATGCTGGCAACTGTCTAACCAAATTCTTATGCAACTTGTACAACTAATTTTTCTTAATATTTATATTCAGATTTACATCTATTCCACAACAACAAAGTAGAAATCGTTATTTACTCTCGGGTTCAATAAATTGTATATAAATCATTCCTTAAAATTGTGTAATCATATCGCGTAGAGGGCGCTTCAATATTGTAATAAAATATATATATTTGAAGAACATCGACATTCTTGGATAATTGGCTAAAGTTGTAGGCGTCGCAGGTGTTAATAATAAGATTCTAAAATTGGCCATTCTATTGACACAATTTACATATCCATATGAATGCAAATCACATATTTCTAATTCAATAGAATCTATATGGATATAGATCCAACTCTACATTGTAATTAATATTTATTTAACTGAATTCCAGGAACTAAAAAACCTAATTTGCACTTTCTTTAAATTCTTTCTTATAATTACTGAGATTTGCACATAATATAATTAATTCAATAAAAGGAATTATATTTACCATTATTTGCTGCAACATTTATATTATTTCGTCAATATTGTAGTATTAGTATCAAATATTTTTATATATTTTTCCTATTTAAAAGCCTTTGTAGATGTTTATTCTAAATCCTAAAATCTTTAATTTCTTTTCAGTTCGGTTCCTGAATGGGAGTCATCAATTGATGAAAGTGGTCAATTGCTTTTTATTGATTGCCATCCTTCGGTAACTCAAACACACGTTGATACGGAAAGCAGCAGCAACGTAAAGCCTCCTCTGGTTAAAAACCAAACACGTAAAAGTACCAGAAGCAAATTCCTTCGATTGATTAGGAGACGGGAGAGCAAAAGACGTAGTAAACGTGTTATGAAACATGAATCCTCTCAGGAAAACAAAGTGACGTTCCATGATTCCGGTGACGGCGAAATAAAGGTGGTCACCGTTAGAGTCAATGAAGAAGGAGTTAAATTTAAATTGGGCAGGAGGGTGAAATTGGTGGAGACAATGCTTGGAATTATCGTTGGTACATTCACTGATGGAAACCGCGTTATGGTATCAGGCTTTACTCCTGATAGCGAACATGATAAAAGCATTAAAATAGGAGATTGGTTAAAATCCGTGAATAATATTGATGTTAATGTGCATAATTTGAATACAATTTTAAACCAATTGAGTGGTCACGAGGCTGTTGATTTGACGTTGCAAAGAGTTACTGGGGTTGAAGTAACTAAGCAACCCCCAAGCAACGAGCTGAGCAACCAAAGTAATTTTGTTAAATCGTTGACTGGAAGTACTAATGAGGAATTATTAAATTTACTGTTGGACCAACCCGTGGGCATTTTATATTTAGACACAGAAATCCTTAGCGAAAACGGGCCAGAATTTCAAGGTGTTCTTTACTGTTACCCTACGCCTTTAGCGAAGAACACTCTCTGCTTATGTCGAGGTGTCTTCATAACGATCTCCCATTTGATCGATGAAATCACTAAAACGAAACCTCTAGTAACTACTGTTCAAATCGATAAACGATTGGCTCATGTAGTTTATAATATCATAGACTCGAAAATACTGTTTCTGATGCTACCCGACAATCGACTAACAGCGAAAGAAATCGTTTTAGTTAATGACGAAATTGTCAGAATGCTTGTATTTATTTACGAATCAATAGACAAATGTTTTACGGAGCAGAATACTTCAGAGTTGGATCACTTTTTTTCGCGATTTTTCGCCAGAATCCTGTCAAGCGGACTTTGGTCGAAAGCGGAACAAAGCATTGTCTTAAGCAATTTTAAGAACAAGGCGAATACTCAAGCACCTTACCAGTTCGAGGAACTTTTACCTATGGCTCATCATATAATTTTACCGAATGAGGCGCAAATGCAAATTGATGATGCATTAACGGAATTGGAGGCTTCGGATTATAGGGAATGGGTATGTTGTATAAAAGAAACTGAGACATGAATCAAAGACTATTTTATTTTAGAATGAAGATCCTTTAGATTGTCAAAGGCTTTTCACTATACTCGGCAGCGCTCTCTACCATTCTGGATATCTTTTGGCATCACATTTAATCCACGGCGATTTAGTAGATGTTAATTGCTATTGCCGTCAACAAGGTCTCTTTCATTTATCTCGAACTGAACCACTGCGTTCAATGATACATTGGCGAGAATGTTTCCCTTATTCCTGTAACAGAATTGAAGATGTTATCGTCCCTTCGGACTCACGAAGATATTTGTTAATAGTTGGAGCTGGAAAAGTAAACTGATTTCGGTATTTTTCTTAAATAACACATCTAATATTTCTCAGGACCTTTTAGTTGTAGTTATGGAAGCCGGCGGTTGCACAGAGCCCGCTGAGGATAATCTACCTCCTGATGCATTTTACGTGGAAGAAGCTCAGGCGACTTTGGCACATCTGAAGGAACTGGGTATTTCGGAACTTGCTGAAAGATGGACATGCAGCAATCCTGGAACGCAAGTGACGGTCCCGCAAGCTCCAACCAATGTTAAAAAGAAAACAGATTTCTTTTTTAACAAATCAAATTCACCTATAAGTACACCCGTCAACATGCAAAATAAGAAACAAGAAGTGACTTCCATTCTAAAACGTCGCAGTTCTGATCAAGGACCCTTAACTCAAAGTGGATCATTATTTTCGATCCCTGATGATTCTGAACTGGTATCAGAAGATTCTATAAGTCAAGGTGGGTACAGTGAACGAAGTGAAGTAAGTGATGAACCTGTATTAGGAAGACGAGCTCTAAGAGAAAAAAATCGGAATAATTTCGATGGATCAGATGATGACGACTCCGATATTGATGATTACAGAGTAAATACATTTTTATTTAATTAAGTTATCTTTTTATATATTTACTATTTTTTATAGGATGGAAGCCAAATAAGTATGAGTAGCTATGATTTATCTGAATTGAGACAGTCTTTGTTGAATGATACTGGAGACATACAGCCAATGCAGTTAACTGCAGGAAAAGAACTGGTTTTATACCATTACGTTCATTTAGATTCTACTGAAGGAATTTTTCTAAGTCCTCCCGAGTGTACAGTTAATTCGAATACACTGGATAGCGTTTTGAGTAACTTTCGTGAAAGTTGTCAACACATACACAAACTATTTGAAAATACTCTGAGATTTAAGGTAGTACCATAATTTAATTTTACATCTATAAATTCATAATATTTGCTTTAAGAATCTTACACCGCAAGATATGGCAAACTCAGTAATGAATAAAAGTTTAATTGCCATTAAAGAATATGGCGTACTTTTTGAGACAGATTATTTAGATGACAATGCTCGGAAGACCTGCAAACACACTTTCTGGGTTATTGGGTATGAAATATAAGAAGATATTTAACAAATGTAATTGTGATTATTTTTTAGGAGATTATTTCATATGCCACATCCAAGAGAAATTTACGTTTGCTATAAAGACTCAGTTCCACAAAATTTAGTTGAAATCGCTTTCAAACTGGGAATTTCCATGATTGTTCAATAAATAATTTTGCTTGCAATGCAAAATTCCGTCCACTTAATCTAATATAATTATTATTATTTATAGACAATATATTTTTTATATATTAATTAAATAATACAATTAATAGCTTTATTCTACCATTCCATTATATTTTACAATAATGGAAAATTACATTAAGAATTGAATGAATTTCCAAAATTATTGATATATCAGTTATTTGCAATTAAATTAATATTCTTCCTAACATTTTTATATTGACTGTTAGGATTTTTTTATGAATAAATCAATAAACATAATCTATTTGAACTATACACATGACAATTATAAAATTATTTCTGAAAGATAATTTGTAAAAGATTTTCTTACAAATGTAAAATGTATTTTAATTCAAAGTATTTAAAAAGATTACAATGAACAAAATTAGGAAGAAATTTAGTATACAAATATCGATTATATTGAATTATAGTATATTTTTAGAAAAACAAAAAATAGTTATAATAAATAATTATTTTCTTTATAATTTAATACAATAATAAAGCATTATTAAATAAACATATCTCACTTAAAAAATATTATTTTTAAATATCAATAAACATATAACTGGACATGAGTTTAGGAACATTGTTTCTGATCTTGAATAGTATCAAACAATATTTTTACAACAGCTCCAGCCATTTTACTGCCATAGTGACCTGCCCAGAATAAAGAATCTTTTCCTTCATGTTCAAAGATAATTTTAGCAATATTTTTGGGATAATTTTTAACTGTAGTTTCCAACTAAAAAAAAATGCAAATAAATACAAGTATATTAAAAAAAAAACATCATCAATCACTTTTTTCCATGCTGGATTACTCCACTGTTGAATTGTATATTTGACAATTTCATTCTTATGAACTGAACCATCATCAGTAACTAATTTGATTGTCATACTATAAGTACAACCACAATCATATCGACCACACACCCATTCACTAACATAAATATGAGGTTTAAAATCATTTAAAATCTGTTTTAACATGGGGTTGGATATTTTTATGACCTGCTCTTTATTGCATTTCTCAAAAGAGGTAACGAAGCAACTTTGATGACCATTGAAATCATCAATATCCAAAGGCAATGGGTCACATCCAACTGGTGGATTCTCTATAATCCAATGATTACTAAATTTCTTGTTAATCTTCCAGTTTTCATAAATATCCTGGCCATTGCCATTCTTAATAAAATTGTTGTCAAAGAAATCAAGACCTAGTGCTGCATAATACACAAACCAAGGAACCTTTTTAGGCTTCTGTTTCTTCTCTCGTTTGAATTTTAGTATCCAAACTATATCAGATTTAATCCACTTATTCCAATTGACGCACACCTCACTGCATTTCAATAAATCTTTTGTAGGCACAAAACTCAGGATTTGTATTAGAATCTCTTCAGGCATATAGTATTGTAACAATTTATAACCATTTAATGCAATGTCATCCTCCATTTCAGGTTGCACAATATTATGCTTGGTAATTGGTGTTTCAGGGTTCACTGGTTGCTGCGTACTTGCAGCGCTATTTACTAAACCCATTGCTGATTTGCTTGAATAAATTGTATCGACGATAAAAATAAAGTCTGACTAATATCACACTACAAACTTTTACTTAAAACTATTAAGGAAATAATCCATACAATTGACTTTACTGTTTATAAAATATGTTGTATATATTTTTTTCAATCAATATTTTTCTACATACCACTTTCCTTTCTATAAAGATTGTTGCAATAAGTAGTGTCTATTGGTGTGCATCAACCAGACTATAAAATTGACAGATTTCGTGATGAAAATATTTTTATTTTAAAATCTCCTGACAATAGAAACAGGACCACGAGCAACTTATGTTTAGCCCATATATATAACAAAATGCTACTGTTTATTTATTAAACTATTAAATGCGTTGGAAATAGTTAAAAAATAATAATTACAAGCAATATATTTTCTATAACTACAATTATTACGCTAATTATACAAATAAAAACCTGAACTCTATAGACGAGTCGCCCCTGATCAGTAGTTGCACAATATTGTAAACTGAACTAGAATTATTTTAGTATTTTGCAGTATCTTGTTATTCAGAAGTCCTAAGTAACGATGATAGGTTTGAAATAAATCTTTCATATGCACTTAGCGACTGCGTTACGCATCAATTCTCGTGTCAAATTCTTTCATTCTTTTGTTTTTCAAAATGTAAGCATCATAGCCCGATCTTTTAATAAAATTTAAAATCAGTCTATAAACGCTGACGACGCTGACGTCCTCTATACTCAACAGAACCTCCATGGAGGTCGGAAGGGGAGCCTTGTTAGCCTTTAATTCTCTCATAAAATCATCTATGTACCTTCGATTGTTTGTACATTGTAAACAAATGATTTACGGTGGCCAAGGATCCACAGTCACAGTTTGGAGAATCCAAAAGATTCATCCTGAACAGATGAGCTGCAGATCTGTCATGTCCTGTCCGCAGTCTTGTAAAAGTAAACACCAGCAAACCAGAGTTTCATAAACCATGGTTTATAACTCACTTCTGCATTCCAACGAAATATCTGATGCTGTTGATACTAGACAACTTCTCATACACCTGTTGACACTTTACAATTTCTTGTCTACGCGTCATCTGCAGATCTGTGAAAGAGACGTCTTGGTTCCTCACATCAAGTGTATTTCCCTGGTCGACCAAACTATCCACTGGATGGATTGGATAGTACAAATTCAATGATACCTATAAGAGAATCAGCAATGTTGTCCTCCGAACAAACGGCTATAGCCGGATCACCTTCCGAATCAACCCCCATCACGGCGGTGTCGGAATGACCCACCCACAAAAGAAAAAAAACTTACTCCAAAACTAAAACTATATGGGTAATAAATAAGTTGCTCTTGGTCCTGTTTCTATTGTCAGGAGATTTTAAAATAAAAATATTTTCATTACGAAATCTATCAATTTTATAGTCTGTGTGATGCACCAACACACTACTTATTGCAACAATCTTTATAGAAAGAAAAGTGGTATGTAGATAAATATTGATTGGAAAAAATATATACAACATATTTTATAAACAGTAAAGTCAATTGTATGGATTAAAACTAAATAATAAAACTATATATACATGTATATGAAAAGGAAGGATATTCGTTGAATACCAACAAATTGCACAATTCGTTTAAGAAACAATTGAAAATCAATAATGGTTAGTAACGATTGGAGCATTTAAAGAATATCAACAAAAAAATGTCAGTTGCATTTTATTTTTGAGAGAGAAAAAGTTTAGCTCCGAGTCAGCTGGCAAAGAATGGATCTCCGAAAACAAAGAGATTCAAACCACCATCAGTTCTCAACATATCCAATGACAGAACTAAAAGAATTATGTGAGTGTTTGTAATTGGAATTCATGTATTCAGATTGAGGAAACTATTGAATACTTGCATATAACATTGAATCATAAATCGTATTCCTCGCTTGTCGCTTCGCTGCCCTCATCATCAACTTTAACGGATTTCACCTCGACCTTCGCCGATTTCTGATGGAACACGAACGAAATGTGTTTGGCCAAATCCCAGATTTCCTTCAATACAATATCGGCCAAAGACTTCTTGTCCCAAGCGTGATACCAGTTGCTCAAATCAGAGGTGCAATCGGCATTCTCAGGTGGATTTGTCATCTGGATATTAGTGATGCACCTCTTGCATTTCAACCTGTCGTGCGTATCCGAATTTGTCTTCTCCAGGATGAACAGCTCCCTCAGTTCGGAGGCGGTGAAATGCCTCATCGTTTCCTCGTTGTTGTCCACCACAGTCGAACTCAGAGCTTTCTTGTGAGCTTGTCTCTGAAATATTTTTTCCTCGATCGTTCCAGTCTAAAATAAAAAAAATCAAAGAGTACGTAGCAACCAAGATATTCACGTTAATCAAGTAGATGAAGTGTAAACTTACCGCAAGGAATCTGTAGATGAAACAGGGTTTCTTCTGACCATCCCTCCAGACGCGCGCCATCGCCTGATCATCATTCGCAGGATTCCAATCGGGATCGAACATGACCAGTCTATTGGCCCCGATCAAATTTAAACCACACCCACCGGCCTTCGAGCTGAGCATAAAAATCCATTCGGGCGATTCCGGTTTGTTGAAACTCTCCACGACCTTCGCCCTCTTCTTAATGGTCATCGTCCCGTCCAGCCGCACGTACTTGAAGCTCCGCTTCATGCACAACTTCTCGAACAGATCCAGAGTCTGCGTATAATTCGATACGAGCACGATTTTATCGTCGTAGTTCGTTTTCAGATTGACGAGAAGACAGTCAAGCAGCATCACCTTCCCGGAGAATTCGGGCCGAACATCGCCTGCTGGTGGCAGTAAATGTCTGCTCTTCTCAAACCCTTCCGCTCCCTCCCTGATTTTATCCGCCACCAGTTCCGGATGATTGCAAAGCTTCTTCAGACTTGTGATCCCCGCCAACGTACTCAGCGAGTTCTTCGACTCGCCGTCATTCTCTCGCACCGTCCTCCTCACAGACTCTGAATTGATGTAGTTCATATAAATCTCACGCTGCATCGGCGTCAACGTGCAGCACACGATCATCTCGAACTTTACAGGTAAATACTTTGTTAGCAGAGCACTAGTCCTTCGAATTAGACACCTATTAACGATATTCGAGAGCTCTAACAGACAACGTTGAGCCTCCCTCCTCTCAGAAACCGAGGCACAAGCATCCTGACCTAAAATTAAAACATTACAAATTGCAAATCCACAGAGCGAGAATACGAATACCTTTGATAATGTAATTTTCGAATTTCTTCCTGAATTCCTGCGCACTGCCAAGCAGCCCTTCGTTCACGAAATGTATCAAGCTGAAGTACTCGGTTAGATCGTTCTGAATGGGCGTTCCGCTGAGAAGGACACGCCTCTTGCATTTTAACGCCATCAACGCCCTTAAAAAAAAATAAAAAATACAATCAAGATTTCATATAAAAATTAAATGATTTACCTATAAGTTTGATTCTCGCAATTTTTGAGACGGTGTCCCTCATCGCACATCACCATCCCGACTTCTCTTGAATGCAAAATCTCCGCGTGCATCCGAAACGTCTCGTACGAAATGATGAGCAACGATATAGCAGTTCTTCCCTGCCCTTGCATGAATTGCGTTAAATTCTTTTTAGCATCTCCGCTTCCATCCATCATCAGAGAACAAAGACGACCACCCAACCACTGAAAATTTAGCAATTGTTTTGAACTAAAAACAATAATTCACAATTAAGCTTGCAGCACACCTTCGTGATTTCGTTACTCCAATTCTTTACTAAAGAACTAGGACACACTATAATAGCCTTGTCTATAGTAGGTTTACATTCAGGACTTTGTTGTAACAGAGTCCAGAGCAGCGTAATACATTGCAACGTTTTTCCTAAACCCATCTCATCGGCCATTATGCAACCAAACGTACCATCGATTTGCACGCCGGTCACACAATCGTACATAAATTTTACACCCTGTAATATTATTTATAATAGCATTAATTGTTTTCTTCTAAAATACAATATGTACCTGCCGCTGATGTGGTCTTAATATATTCCCAAGCACAGGATCCACCACAACATGTACTAGAATTTTGCTACAAAAATAAAATTTAGTAAAATTTACGTACAAATAATCAGACATACTCCTTATTTATCATCTTGTCCTTCTCAGACATCTCTGGAGGATTGTAGAGGATCAAAGCATTTGGTATACCAGGATCATAGAGTGGTCTCCGAGGTTGTGATTTCCTCATACCCAAATTTTTCATTGAATGACATCCAATGTAATTGGGAATTGGTACTTTGAATGGTTTCTTCAACTTCTGGATGATTTCCTCCTAAAAATCAATCAATCCAATAAAAGTCTGAATACATGAATTTCAATCACAAACACTCACATAATTTGTGGTGAACATTTCCTGCACTGCATCAGGTTCTTTTGCACTTGTATCTTCTGTGCATTTTCTTTTAGTTCTGCCATTGGATATGTTGAGAACTGAAGGTGGATTGAATCTCTTTGTATTCGGAGATCCATTCTTTGCCAACTGACTTGGAGCTAAACTTTTTCTCTACCAAAAATAAAGTGCAAACAATTGACGTTTTTGTTGATTTTCTTTAAATACTCCAATCGTTACAAACCATTGTTGATCTTCAATTGTTACTTAAGCGAATTGTGCAATCTGTTGGCATTCAACGAATATCCTTCCTTTTCTTGGGTATTTCGGTTTGCTTCGAATCGAGTTTAGCTGTGCGAGATTAAATCTTACTGGAATTAACAATAATCAACGAAATTTACTAAAAAACGAACACGTTCAAACATGGAACAAACTAAACACAACAATCAATGTCACCAACTAAACAAGTAATAATAATAAAGTAACGTGATGAGGATTTGAAAATTTAAAATCCCAAGTTACCAACTGTAACAAACTCAATTTCTAGATGGCGCTAATTAAAATTTTGCACACACTGCTAACTTCTACTCAAAATATGTTCTGCTGTTTCTTCCCCTCTAAAGAGAGTGGAAGTATGCAACTTAACTCGCTCCGTGTGGTGCATGTAGCCAGTCTATGCATAATTACTTTTTTTCTTTTTAGGCCCAATTTGTACTCCTTTTCTGATTTATCGGCCACCACAAGTTTTGTTGATTTTAGGGAATCGAACTTTTGTATCAGATTTTTGTAATACTGGCGAAATTAGGATTAGTTATGATTAAAGTATTAGAATTAGTTTAGCTAGAAGCACATAGAAGCGCTTAAAAAAATCCTACATACAGTCTGAAGTTGGTCTTTTATACAATTTTGTGATTTAAAAAATATGTCTTTTATTTTTTAATTTATAAATACTTCCTTAAAGTAATGATAGTCTCTGATAATTCAATTGCAAAGACTATTTATTTAATTGAAAATGACATGTTTCAAGAAAATAAAAATTGACAGCAGACAGCACATGTCATTAGTAAAATTTCTCTGATATGCCATGAGTGTCTAGCAAGTTATTTTTCTTCAGACGTGGCTCAACATCTGAGTAAACTGTGCCAAAATGATACTTCGGTTTTTAAGTATATCTTTAGTATTAATTATTGTAAGTTCGTTGTGCGAGGCGCAATTACTTGAGGGTTTATATTGTGGTAAAAGCAATTGTTATGATGTTATTGGTGTACCTAGAGATGCCAGCAAATCGGAAATTGCAAAAAATTATCGAAAACTAGCCAGGCAATTCCATCCTGATTTGCACAGAGAAGTAGAAGCAAAGGCAATTGCTGAGGAGCAATTCAAGACTATAGCCACTGCCTATGAAATATTGAAAGATGATGAATCCAGAGCTGATTATGATTACATGCTTGATAATCCAGATGCCTACTATGCCCATTATTATCGATATTATAGAAGAAGGGTAGCTCCAAAAGTGGATGTCCGTGTGGTGATTATAACAACAATAACTGTGATTTCTTTAGTACAGTATTTTGGTGCAAGGCAACGTTACTATTCAGCAATCAAGTATTTTATCACTGTTCCAAAGTATCGCAACAAGGCATTAGACATAGCTAAAGCTGATGGCCTATTGGTTGTCGATAAGAAGAGTAAAAAATCTAAATCTGAAATTAAGGAAGAAACAGAGAAGATAATTCAGAGTGTCATAGAAGATAAGATGGATATTAAAGGAGCCTATGCAAAACCAAGTGTGTATGATGTCCTATGGATTCAACTTGTATTTTCTCCATACACAATTTCCAAGTGGATTTATTTACGTATGATGTACTTTGTGAAATTCACATTTCTTAAGCAGGAATATACATTGGAATACAAATTATATTTGATAAGGAAGTATTTGAAAATGGGTCAACATCAATTTGATAGTATTGAAGATCACCAGAAGCAAGACTATTTGCATCAAGAGCTATGGGATAAAGAGAAATTTGATATTTGGAAGAAACAGGAAGAGGAAGATATGAAAATACAGATGGCAGAGAGCAATAGATATAAGCAGTATCGAAGATTCATGAAGAAGAATGGTATTCCAAGAATGACTTTTGATGATTCATAACAATAATTTATATTTTATTTATTTTTATTTATTAAATAAATAATTAAAAATGAAAACTTAATATTATTTCTTACAAATTGTTCTTTACTTCCTGTAGATAACCTATTTCTTGTGAATGTTCCTAAAAAGTATTCAAATTAAAAGTTTTCACAAAACTAACATTTTACATACCCTCCATTTCTCCATTGTTATAGAGCTGATCATTTGAATGTTATGTCCTTTTGAGTTACGGAAAGCTTTCAAGTATTTTTTATGTATTGGTTCTAATGTAGGTTCATCATTATCATCTGAAAAAAAGTAGTTAATATATAATTGTTAATTTATATATTGTCCATTACCTAGATTTAGTTTAGCCTTTCCGTCTCGAATAAGGAATGAAGTATAAAAAATATTTTCAACAGTTTTACCAAAATCATCTGTATCAATTACATATCTATAATACAGTATTGGTTGGTTATTGTTCTTTTCATAATTTAATTTCAAGACTTCTAACAGGAAATCAACAATGTCATCAATACTTTGTTCATCTTCCTTAACATTTTTTACTTTAAGTAATGTTTTCTTGACAACCGTCTTCTGTGACTGCTTTTCTATTCTTGGTTTACTTTTCTTAATAATCTGTTCTTTGTTTAAAGTATATGTACCATATAATGATGCAAATATAGGAACTTTGTGATAAATTGTTTTGGCATCTTCTAGCAGATTCAGTAAGCTTGACTCATGAAAATCATCTTCATTTTCATTACATTTGGAAATCTAAAATAAACCAGTCTATGGAAGATAAAAGAAACATAACATTATATTTACTATTTTTTCAGCGAATTCTCTCGGATCATAGACATTACTTTGAAAGGATGTCACACTATCTAAAGCTTTATTTACTACACTGCTTGCAGAGTTTAATAATTTCACATCCAGTATTGTTTCATCAGAATTATCCAGCCGTTTATGTACTGAGTATGTCTTTTCAAGAACATCCAAACCTTGCAAAACTTGATTTACTTCAATGACTGCATTTAATCCAAAATCAGCATTTTCCTCTATAATAAACATATATAGAATAGGTTCTATTCATGAATTTTAAAATTGTAAACATACCAATTATTCCCACACGATCCAATAAATTTTTCAAACCGATTTTCTTCGCAATTCTTGAATTTGTATCATTGATGTTTTCTGTGTCCACCTCCATATTTACCATTTCTTGATATATAACTCAAACTGACTCAAACGATATGAAATATTTCTATTGACATTCAAAGGCTTCGAATTATCGAATAAATAAACACAAATACAAACAACGACTATAGTATATGACCATATTCACACAAAATTAACCAAATTACACAAATATTTTTCAGTTCTAAATAATATGAGACGCAGCCGCTAGGAGGTAGCATATGATGATACAAATGTACATCATTGTGTTATTAACTAAGAAATATAGCAATTGAAAAGTATTAATTTTCTAATTGTGATATATGGTCCAATTTTATTTACTTATAAAGTAATTTATTTTATACCACCAATGTTGGTTGCATATCAATAATTTAGTCGTAGCTTTGGTACTGAAATCAATGTTGCATTCTATGGTTGCATTCAGTTGCATTGGTGTATATCATGTGTATCATCTGTTTAGTATATTTTAATATCAACAATTGACTTCAGTAAATTTTATTATTTACATCTATAAATTTATTAACTTTATTAAGGTAAATTGAGCAACAGTAGTACAATAAATATGGAAATAGAACTAAATAAACCAGATTTATCTCAATTAGAAGGTTTCTTAACCTCACTTACTTTTAATTTAGTTGAAACTTACAATATTGACCATAATATCATAAGAAAACACACAAAGAAATTGACAACATTAGGAGATATCAGTTTTCCAGTGAATATAAAGAGCTGGTTTCATTTATTAAAGGAGAAAGCATCAATTGAAGTTCAGACAATATTCAATTACTCAAAAACTATTTCCACAACTGAAGATCTAATAAACTTAAGTAAATTGTGGAATTACCCAATAAACAAAGCAGTTAATGTGAATGGTAATTGTCATATATACTTAGATAAACCAGTTGCATTCAAAAAAACAATTGTTGATGTTTTAAAGGAAGCAAGTAAATATGGATCATACAATATGAATAAATCATTAACTTTGACCACAGATGTTGTGAATGATGATAATCTGTTATTAACAGAATTAAGAGTTTTACTATTAATGAAAGTGGCAAATAACTTTTTAATCTTCAATAACTGTAGTAAAACAAATGGAGAAATTATAAAGTTATGTAGTAAATCATTGGTGAATGATGATGTCATTGTGTGTGGTCCAATTCTAAATTCAAAAGGTTCAAAGGATACTGAAACAACTTCAAAAGTTTATTATGAGTGAGTATCATGGCTTAATATTTGAATTCTTATTAACGTTTTTTTGTTTTTTTTTCAGTCAACGGACTTTAGATATGAGGTTAATGGCTGAACACAAGTATGGGTTAAGAATAACATCTAAACCTGGATGGGAAGAGTTTTTTGCTAAACTTGGATCTGCAGCTGTAATCATAGAAATGTTACAGAATAGACCCAACAATTGCACAACAATAGACATCAATAATCATTACATAAAAAGTATTAATGTGATGATTTTTTTTTAAAGTTGAACTAATTTAAAGTTCTGTTTACAGACGCATCTTTTATCCTTTATAATTGTGCAAGGTTATCAACATTATTGAAAGAATTCGAAAAACGAGTGTCTGAGAATGTATATCCACCTTTAATTGATATTGATGAGATTAATTTTAGTTTACTTGAACAGCCAGTATGTTTATTGTTATGTTATATTTTGTGTTTTATTATTATTTTGATTGTAGGAAGAATGGGAGTTATTATATGTTTATATTCTGCAATTTCCTGTACTTTTGAAGAATTGCATCAAAGATATTGATACTTGCAAGATTAATGTTCATTATTTGGTAGCACACTTGGGTTCAATGACGTCTGTATTTAGTGGCTATTACAGAAGAATTAAAATTTTGATTGTATGTCATCAACTATATATTTATATAAAATTTATAACATTTTGTTTTAGGAACCTAGGGATTACCTTTTCAATGTTCTGCATGCAAGAATTTATTTGCTGAAAGCACTTGAACAAGTTTTTCACAATGGATTAAAGTTATTGGATATTGAACCAGTGAAACAAATGTGATATATAATTATATGCAACTATTTTATGAAATATATGTATGTTTATAATATTCAACATTTATTTTTACCTTCAGTAAATAAAACACGTCAATTATATAATTAGAAAATGGCTTCAAATTTGTCGAAATTTGTAAAAATGCAATCGGCTTCCAATTTCATTTGCTAAAAATACTTCTAATTATAGATCAACGAAACAAAGCCAATATTGAATATTAATAATATAGACATGTGTTTTGATACTATTTTAATTTGTTAAAATTATATCAAAACAACGAAAGTAGATGAAAGAAATTTATAGAGATTATTAATTACTTATTTACAATGAATTCTCAAGTTCAACAAGTTTAATTTAATTGAAATACTACGTCACTATAAAATAAGATTATAAAGTTTGGAAATGATTGTTAAAATGATTTCTTGAATGCAAACGGTATCTTTCTGCTAGTTTTTAAATTTATATTTGATATTAAACGTTGTTATTGATCTTCCAGGGTATTACAACAAGTCCAAGGATAATTGACGTATTTATCATAATATGAAATATGTACTTTTTATATATTGCTAATCTCTTTATTTAGATAGCTACTAATGCACCATTTTGCAATAACAGTGTATGTTCAAATTTTTTAAACATAAGAATATTAAATGAGTAATTTCTCTGAAGGATATTACAAAAAATACTTTTATAAATAAGTTTACAGATGATATTTATTATTTTCAAGGTCTTATTTATATAAAATTGCGCCTATTGAATAGTGTTTACTTTTTGAACTCAATCCAAAACATATCTTCATTAAAACCTGCTCTGATGTTTACCGGTTAAAACGATTTTAAATTATTCCTGTGCAATTTTCTAAGTCCTGGCAATTGCATATAGAAATCTATTATTACACCTGCCTACCGTGGTACTAGCCAACTTTGTAAATGAACCTGAACGAACGTGCAGCATTTTCATTTTCTAACAAAGAATATTTAAACAGTATTAGTTCCAAAAATAATAATGTGTAACTTCCTATTGATTATTGAACTATTTTAAATCAATGGAAACTATCGATGAGTAACAATTTACATTTTCAAATTAAACCAAGAAGAATGTATTAATAAACAGTTTTATTTAATTAAATTAAAAAAAACTATTTATATTCAGTTAATTGTACGGTATTTATGTTCCAGTTAAAATTATATTTAGTAAAATAAACATACATACGGAACTGGTGAGTTTTTTTTATTAAAATTTCTGCTCGGAGAAACAAAACAAACAAGTATCACGTCTATGTGTAATATGTTATGGAAACCAGATCCCGACATTTAATGTATTTGCTCCGTTTTTTATCTAGTTATCCTTATCGTTTTATTAATTGCATATGTGCAGCATTAATTAATTTCCATTGCGCTCTGAACATTATTTTAATATTTATTGCCACAAAAAGATAAGTTTAAACATACACTCGATTTTATAATGGAAAGCATCAATATTAACACATTGGGTACTGAAGAATATAATTAAATAAGACTCGGCAGAATGCATTTACTTATCTCGTGTTATGGACAACGTATCGTGGAATTACAGTTTTATAAATTTTCATATATTTTTTGAAGTAGTAACTATAATATATGTATACAGCCGTGAATCATAATTTCTTTTATGGGATAATAACAATTTGATTCATTACTATTTTTTACTCCTTTAATTTGTCTACATTTTCTTTGATTTAGAAATATTGTTATCAAAACTATAATTTGTTTGTAACATAATTAGGCTTTAAAAAAAATATATAATATACGTCAATTAAAAGATAATTAATGATGATTATTTCAATCTTTTAACAGAATTATCTCTAATTACAATAGAATACAATTCAAATCAAAATAATTAATATCTTAAGTTTTCTCAAGATCAATATTTATCAACGAACAATAAAACAGTCATAAACATATGTCCCTTTACGCTGGGCAGGAAACTCATTAGACAACTGAGCCAAATATCAACAATACACCGATTGAGATTTCTTTTGAGAGCTAAATTTCTTAATAAACTTTAATTAAAGTTGTTAGTCTAAATAAAACTTAATATCATACTTAATAATGATCTAATTTATTGATAAAAAAATAAATTGTAAGTAAGACCTTGGAAAGGCCTTGGAAAGATAAGTTTCAAGCTCTAAAACGATTGTTTGCATGAATATCTAGAATCGAAAAAGGAAAGTAATCCAACTAATCATGTGAGTCAGGAATACTATCACCAAAATCATCATGTCTTCTTTCTCCAGATTTTTTAGAGCAGACTACTTATGCATATCAGCACAAAGACTTTTTGAATTGACTATTGAATTTTTTGAATATTTGAATTCCTGAAACCTGTATAAAATTGTTGTTTTGAAATAACAAATATCAATATCAGAATTATTTTCTAATTCACAATCTAAAACATATTTCATCAGACTTGGAAGGAGAATCAAAGTTTCTCTAAATCTTGAGCAAAAAATAATATTTTATTTTCGAATGAAACGTGGTCATTTGTTCATCAGAGACGCACTCAAAGGGCCAAATAGTAGTTTGCCAACTACTGCGCTAGACTAAATACACTTCTACGGATGCACAATCATGATAGTGAAATAGTTGGCCACAAATATGGGATTCGGTCGGCCCCCACGGCTTCTAATGTACGGGGCCACTGTGAGTAATATATTTTTGTTCAATCTAATATAAATTTAAACTAACTTAACCGTATGATGTATAATAACAGGATATAATAGTTTGCACCACAGTAGTAGTAAACATGGTATTTGGCACTTTCATCTATGTGCCAAGTCCATCCAACTATAAGTAAACGAAATATTGCGTGTGCCGAAACCTTAAGTTAACTTCAATCCTTTATCACCACTGGTGTCCTCAATCTCTAGATAATGATTTCCACCAAGATATTACACAAAATCTCACACGCAATTTTCAATCACGTTTTTTCTTTATGCAATTGAACAGTATATATTATAATTCTATTATAAATCAAGTAAAAAAAAAGAAATGATTTTTTGTATAATTAATTATATTTTCTGAATAAAATTATAACAAAAATGTATATTTGAACAACATTTAATTAAAATTTAATACACTTATGACTATATTTCATTAATCAATTTAATATTAAACGAAAAAACACATCGAATATTTGCATAATTAGAATTTAATTTGTCGGATTTTAATTTATTATCCAATTAAACTTTACATTAATGACAAAAAATAATTACACAATATATTAGAACTTTGGTAATAAATCTTAAAAGCAAAACATTAATAATTACTAATTTAAATGCATTTTGATAGTTTATGTCATGTGCTTAATGTGCTCTACGATATAAGAATATTTTAAGATGAAAAAAAAGCGCACACAACGTTTAATTAAAGAATATTCAATTTTATAATTTCATTAATATTAAATTTTATTTATTCGTGATAAATTTTATTTATTCGTGATAAATTTTATCCTCTTGAAGGTTGCAAGCATAAAAAGTTGATACGAAAAATGTATTTTTGAATTAACTTCTCATTCGTCACGATTAAAATGTTGTAAAAAATATTTTAGATTTAAAATTTAAATTCGTTTTTCTATGTTATTTGAAATAATGCGACTTTGTTAACGAAATAAAAAAAACATTGAATACCCACAGTTCAAAAATCGTTAGAAAAATGAGTAAATGTTATGATAATGCTTTTGAAATAGTTCTAATTTGCATGGAGGTTGTTGAAAATGCGTTCTAAAATCGTAAATTTACAAATAAAAATATATGAATTTTTTTTTGTATCTTATTTTTATAAAAGTATTTCATAAATATTATAGAAGTATGTTGTTAATGCACCTGTATGTAGAATATCGATTTGAAATAAAATTAATACATTTTATGCAACCTTGTAACATAAAGATACCGTAATAAAAAAAATGTATAATGTGATCGTCGTTATTATCAGAAAAAGGTTGCATATGGACTATGCTTTGAAAAAAATAAACGCCAATAGAACATTTGGTGGGATTTAGGTTTTGGACTTTCAGCCACAATGACTATATCCCGAAGTGCCTCTTTATTAACATCGGTATCGCGTTTCAATTCTGAATTGCCCTGATCGATAAATTCAATTGTTGCCGACAGGTTCTAACTCGGTATCATGTATAATTCATGATAGCATTGTTTCGTAACTTAAATAATAAAAACATATAATTCTAAATGAAACTAAAATAAACAAAATAAAACGGTCTTAATATTTAGATGAATTTACATTTCTAAATGAAACTAAAATCAATAAAAATTTTAAATATAAAAAAAAGTCAACTGCTGTAATGTATATAATTTTATATTGCTTTGTTAAGAACAATACTACTCTTTTAAAGACGTATTTTAAAAGTAATCCAATACCTCTCATAGTGCGGGTAATCAATTTTGTTTTGTTTGAAAACGAACAAATCGAGGAACTAAATATGTACAAAAATAAATTGCATAAAAAGAGACTTGAAGAAATATGAATGGTAATAGAGACCAATTGACTTCGGAATTCATTTTGCACGAAAAATGGTTGGTTCCTTAGTATTACTAAATATAGTCTGTAGTAAATTTCTTTGTTAACATCACAAATAATGCAAGCAGATAATAACTATCTATGAAGAAATGGAAACTTTTTGTGTATTGTGTGTTTGTGGGCCATTGTTACGTTATTTAATTTGGTGTGGGTGCAGTTTAAATATTTGCGTGATGTTATGAAACACTGCCTTGATACAATATATGTGATCTAATAATAATTGTCGGTCGCTCATTAGCCTTTACTCTTTTTTTTTTCTGATGATTACGTGACCGAGTGATTGGACACATTCACACAGACACATCTACACGGACCAAATAATCAAATCGTTTCGCAACAGCGCAATTTTGTGACAAATGAAATGATTAATTGTGCTTTCTTTAGGAACGAAAACTCATTTCAATATAAGATTAGTATTATCTGCGTGCAGCTAATTACTCATAT